TAAGTGCTGAAGACACACCTCACTTACAGACGCATACACACTAGCTAACAGACACACACATTTACTGACAGAGACACAGTCAGCGACAGACATACATACACACTCACTTACAAAACATACACTCTCATTGACAAACACAAACTCACTAACAGACATCAAACAGACTCACTAACACACACACACTCAGTAAGACACACACAGTAACACACTCACTGACACTCACTAGCAGACACACACACTAACACTCACTCTAACACTCACACACTAACACTAACACTAACACTCACTAGCAGACACACACACTAACACTCACACATACTAACACTCACACACACTAACACTCACACACACTAACACTCACTAGCAGACACACACACTAACTCTAACACTCACACTCTAACACTCACACACACTCTAACACTCACACACACTCTAACACTCACTCTAACACTCTAACACTCACACACACTCTAACACTCACACTCTAACACTAACACTCACTCTAACACTCACACACTAACACTCACACATGTTTTTTTGTTTTTTTTAAATGTAATCCCCCCAGCCTCCTTACCTTTTGGAGTGCTGGGGATTTCCCTGGGGTCCAGTGGTGCTGCTGGGCTCCTGGGCGGGTGGCCGGTCGGGCAGGCGGGCGCGCGAGGGAGCACTCAGTACTTCCTCTTCAGTTCCCTCGCGCGCCGCGTAGCGATGCCGGCGCCGGAAGATGACGTCATCTTCCGGCTCCGGTATCAGTGTGGTGCGCGAGGGAACTGAAGAGGAAGTACTGAATGCTCCCTCGCGCGCCCGACTGCCCGACCAGCCACCCGCCTTCCGGGTGTCAGCAGGGCCAGCCTCGGGGGCCCTGGTGTGGTCGGCTCCTGGGCCCCCCAGGGGAAGAGGCTGGCCCTGTGGGTACATACCGGGTTGCAGAGGCGGCCGAGCCCCCTGGTGGGCCGGGCCCGGTCGCAGCCGCAACCCCTGCGACCCTGGTATGTACGCCACTGATGTCTGTGCTTGGGATGTAGCATGTCTGTGTGTGTATGCTGGGCATGTAGTATGTGTATGTGCTAGGGATGTAGTGTGCACCCGCTAGGGATGTAGTGTGCGTAAGCTAGAGATGTAGTGGGTGTGAACTAAGGATGCAGTGTGTCTGTGTGTGCACTAGGGATGCAGTGTGTCTGTGTGAGCACTAGGGATGCTGTATGTATGTGTGTGCGCTGGGGACATAATGTGTCTGTGTGTATGCTGGGGATGTAGTGTGTATGTGCGTGTATGCTGGGGATGTAGTGTGTATGTGCATGTATTCTGGGGATGTAGTGCGTGTGCGCGGGGGATGTAGTGTGTGTGCTGGGGATGTAGTGTGTTTGTGTGTGCGCGGGGGATGTAGTGTATATGCTGGTGATGTAGTGTGTCTGTGTGTGCTGGGGATGTAGTGTATATGCTGGTGATGTAGTGTGTCTGTGTGTGCTGGGGATGTGGTGTGTGTGTGTTAGGGATGTAGTGTGTCTGTGTGCTGGGCATGTAGTGTGTCTGTGTGCTAGGCATGTAGTGTGTCTGTTTGTGCTAGGGATGTAGTGTATGCTGGAGATGTAGTGTGTGCTGGAGATGTAGTGTGTGCTGGTGATGTGGTGTGTGCGTGCTAGGGATGTAGTGTGTCTGTGTGCTGGGCATGTAGTGTGTCTGTGTGTGCTAGGGATGTAGTGTGTCTGTGTGTGCTGGGGATGGTGTGTGTTTATGCTGGGGATGTGGTGTGTGCAGGGCCGGACTGGCCCACCGGGATACCGGGAAATTTCCTGGTGGGCCATGGCACCTGGGGGCTGCGCTGCCACATAGGTGCCACCGGGTGGCCGGTCCGGTGGCACTCTGAGGGGGCCGGCCGCGTTCCAGGCACTGCTGTGGCTGATGGCTGAAGGAGGATGAGCATGCTCCAGCACAATAACATATTTAAAGTGAAGAGCACACCCACAGGACTTCAAAATAAACATTTTTTACAGTTGTGCCCTACATACATTCACCATTTCAGTCCCATTAACAAGCTTTCCTTAATATGTCAAGGTAGTTGGACTGAAACATTGATTACATGCAAAGGCACGTCTGCTTAAAATAAATCTGCACTTTTGTTTATTTTGAAGCCTATGAGTGCGCTTTTTACGTTGAAGTACTTTTTAATTTTAAGTTATCTGTTCTAACTCTGTATCTGCACACTATGCTGGCGCGACGCATTATGGGGCTGGTAAATATTTTTTTTCCAGGGCTGCTTTTAATTCCCAGTCCGGCCCTGGGTGTGTGCTGGGGATGTTGTGTTGTACGTGCTAGGAATGTAGTGTGTCTGTGTGCTGGGCATGTAGTGTGTCTGTTTGTGTAGGAATGTAGTGTGTCTGTATGTGCTAGAGATGTAGTGTCTGTGTGTGCTAGGGATGTCATATGTCTGTGTGTGCTAGGGACGTTGTGTGTGTGTGCTGGGGATGTAGTAGTGTGTGTGTGCTGTGGATGTAGTGTGTTTGTGTATGTGCTGGGGACGTAGTGTGTGTGTGTATTTGCTAAGGACTTAGTGTTTTTGTGTGTGTGCTGGGGATGTAGTGTGTCTGCGTGTGTGCTGGAGATGTGGTGTGTGTGCAGGAAATTTAGTGTTTGTGCTGAAGATGTAGTGTGTGTGCTGGAGATTTACTATGTCTGTGTGTGCTAGGATTTGAATTCCTATTTCCAGCACATTGTGTGCATCAGTGTTAATTTTGTCGACTAACCATTTTAGTCAGATTTTAGTCGACTACAATTTTTGAGAATCAGTCGACTAAAACTAGACTAAAACTAAAACAACTCAGATGATTAAAATATGACTAAAATGGCTTTTTAGTAAAAAAAAAAAATAGTTAAAAAAACTACACTGCTGTTCCCCTATTTTGAAGTACAAAATTACCTAATTTACCAAAGAAGGATTCAGATATCATTAAGCAGCTGTTGGTTCCCCAGACTTACCAAAACATAGTGCTAAAGTTGTCTCACAGCCACATATTAGGGGGACACTTGGGAGTAAAGAAACTAGAGAGAGAGTCCTTAGAAGGTTTTACTGGCCTGGAGTTTTTGCTGCTATAACAAACTACCAGGAAAGGTTAAAGGATCTTAACATGTATAGCTTGGAGGAAAGACCAGACAGGGGGGATATGATAGAAACATTTAAATATATAAAGGGAATCAACACAGTAAAGGAGGAGACTATATTTAAAAGAAGAAAAACTACCACAACAAGAGGACATAGTCTTAAATTAGAGGGACAAAGGTTTAAAAATAATATCAGGAAGTATTACTTTACTGAGAGGGTAGTGGATGCATGGAATAGCCTTCCAGCTGAAGTGGTAGAGGTTAACACAGTAAAGGAGTTTAAGCATGCGTGGGATAGGCATAAGGCATAAGGCTATCCTAACTAGGGACTAATGAAAGTATTTAGAAAATTGGGCAGACTAGATGGGCCAAATGGTTCTTATCTGCCGTCACATTCTATGTTTCTATGTTTCTATAAACTATTGCTCCTCATGCCCTGAGTGCCAGTACTGGGCTCCTTTCAAGACTTTTCGTAGTCTACTTGTACCCTTACCCATAATTGATGTGCCTTTTGAAAGGGTCACTATGGACTTAGTGGGGCCACTGGTAAAGTCCACTAGGGGACACCAGTATATACAAGTCATCTTGGACTATGCAACTCGCTACCCTGAGGCCATTCCCTTGCGTAATACCTCTGCAAAGTTAATAGCTAAGGAACTTATGTTGATGTTCAGTAGGGTGGGTATCCCTAAAGAAATCCTGACAGACCAGGGGACCCCTTTCATGTCCAGAGACACAAAAGAGTTGTGCAGGCTCTTGCAAGTTAAACATCTTAAGACCTTGGAGTGGAGTGTATGTGTGTAGGGGATGTGTTATGTGTTATTGTAGAGGATGTAATGTGTGTGTGTTCTTATAGAATGTAGTGTAGAGGGATACCAATTTGTGAAAGGGATGTAGTGTGTGTGTATAGGGGGTGAAGTGTGTGTTTGTGTGTAAGGAATGCCTTGTATGTTTCTGTGTGTGTGTGTGTAAGGGATGCAAGGTGTGTTTCTGTGTATGTAATTTATTGCAGTGTGTGTCTGTAAGGGGTGCATTGAGTGTGTGTAAGAGATGCATTTTGTTTCTGTGTGTGTAAGAGAATGAGTGTGTGTGTGATCGTAAGGGATGCATTGTGTGTTTCGGTGTGTCTGTGTGTGAGTAGGGGTGCATTGTATATGTGTGTTGTGTAAAAGAGAGGGTTTGTTGGGTAGGATAGGGACTGAGAGGGGAGCAGCTCTTTATTTTTTTATTTTATTTTTTATAGTGCTGTCCCCTCCTGTCAATTAGTGTTCTCACTTTCTGTCCCTTGGCCTCCTGTTCCTCTGCAGTCCCCCCTTGGTGGTCTTCTCACTCCCCCCTCTCCCCCTTAGTGGTCATCCTCTCCCCCCACCCCCTTAGTGGTCCTTCCCTTAGTGGTCCTTCCCTCTTCCCCCTCAATGGTCCTTCCCTTCTTCCACCCCTCAGTGTTCCCTTACCCTCTTTCTGTCTCCTCCCCCCCCCCCTTTGTGGTCCTTTCTCCCACCCCCTCAGTGGTCCTTTCCCCCTTCTCCCCCCCACCCCCTTAGTGGTCTTTTCCCCCCTCAGTGCACCCTACCTATGTAGCGTGGCCGGGCGCCACGGACCGCAGTACAGGAACTTTTGAGTGAGCACTTCCTGTCAGTCCGCCGGCAACCGGGTACAGGAAACAGAAGTTCCTGTACCGCTGTCCGTGCCGCCCAGCCATGCTTCCCTCCTGCTGGTCACCTAAATCTAGCATCCCCCGAGGCCTGTGCGCCCTAGGTGACTGCCTAATTTGTTTATAGGACGTGCTGGCCCTGATGGTAGGTTGGGTGCGACTCTACGTGGGTTCCGAGCTCAGAGGAGGGTTGGTGAGTTGTAGTAGCATCCTGGTTCGTGACTTCGGTGGATTCATGGTTTTGAGCATGGCTGCGGAGCCAATGCCAGATGTTTTGACAGATGAGGTCAATTTTTTTAGTGAAGGCTATTTCCCACTTCTGGGCCGCCATTTCAGCTTTTGGGTGAAGGACTCTGGCGCCATGGCCATCTCGGCACAACCACGCGGACCCTGGGTGTCTGAAGCGTTGTTCAGGTAGGGCAGTAGTTGCACTAGTGGGGAAGTGTAACAGGCTACCACAGTGGGGACCGGGATATCTCCCAATGGTCTGGGGGGGGCCGGTGGGAGGGAACAGGGCAACAGGAATTCCTCTGGTTTGTGGTCCCTGAGCCAGGAGATCAGCCGCTTCTCCCAGCTACTAGGCCGTCATACTCTCTAGGCCGCAGATCAAATCAAGGTAAGTGCCTCTCACGACGGTGTAATCCGGGTATGAGAGGTGTCAGGGTGTGATTAGGTAGATCTGCTGTTGCCAGCAGTGAATTTCCAAGGGTTTTATCATAGTGTAAATGCTAAATTAGCTCTAGGCTGTTAGAGCTGAACAGAAACATGTCCAGCCAGCTTGAGTGTCAGGCCCCGCCCCCTGTTTTTTTTTTTTTTTTTTTTTAATTCTCTGATATGTATATATTAAATATCTTAATGTGTTTGCTCTCAGAACCAAATTGGAATGCTTCTCCTATTTTGCAATAAAGATGTGATCCTATACTTCCATGGCTGGTTCATTGGAAAAGGCTATTTGGCTAATATCTCTTCCTGCTAAAAACATAAAAATACACAAAATCCTAAACATAAATGCTCTTTTTTAAATAAATGGAATATATTTGGAAGCAATGCCCCATACTCCCTTCTATCTGGAAGTCAATTTTTGATCTTATACAAGTAGTAATTTATCATCACTCTTTTATTTGACTGCTACAAACCTCAACTTAAATTCTGAGTTTTCGGGTACACCACATCAAATCATGGTAGGAATTTATATTTGTATATTTAGTTTTGATGATTTTCTGCTTCGACTTGCCTCATGGAAATGTACCAAGCCACCTCTCAACTTAACTGAAACGTGTCACACCTTAAAACTTTCAATAAGCATAAAAAAATAGGTAAGTCTGTATGCTACAAAGAAGTAGATGACTATCATAATGATAGTAAACATTATATGATGTTATATGGTAAGCTCAAGCAAGTTAATGTTTAGCTAAAGAATAATTACCTTGACTAAGCGAAAAGCCATCCAAGTGATATTTGCTGTGTCATGTCCTTCAGATTGTTATTCTAGGAAATCTGCCAAGACACATTCCACAAATACTGTCTACAGGCATAACTCCTGATTAGAGAATATCATCTGCAATGCCAAGATTAACCATAATTGGACACTTTAGTCTAGTGATTGCTCACCGACACACGTGTGATTCAGCACACATGCATTATCAACACCATCCCTGTGAATATTTCAATATGAGGATACTATGTGATGTCTTCAGCTTTTCCAGAATGGTGCTAGCTGATCACACATGTTATATCCCCACTGTGAGGCAGCCAAATGCTACTTTGGATTGAGCCTCTCAGCGATATTTCCAAGACCTGCAGTGCGAATCTTAAGAAAGATTGAATAGACCATACATTTGTAACTGAACAAGGAATAGAGCAGCGCTAGACAAACTAAGAACACTAGGATGGGAGGCAGCACACCTGAAAATAGGGGAATCGTTCCAACCCCCAAAGAAAACTCGAACAACTCAAGCAACAATATACAGGTAGCGCCAACAAAAATACTCCAAACACAATAGTATATATATATATATATATATATATATATACTATTGTGTTTGGAGTATTTGTTTGGGTGCTACCTGTATATTGTTGTTTGACTCATACATATGTAAGATCACTGAAAATGGGATCAGGGCTTTCCAAGCTGCCACGAATAACAAAAAGAACAATATATATATATATATACAGGCATATCTGAGGTTTCTAAAAGGCAGTCTTTTATTAGGAACAAAACAGTGGAGACAACGTTTTGGCTCCTCTCTGAGCCTTTATCAAATCATGAGTCACAAACAGAGCATAACAAGCATTCCACCATCCTCATGACAGCATTTAGATTCAGGCTCCCATTAAAAGGTATGAATCTGCAAAATGCTGCAAGATTACCAATATAAATATTGAAGGAAGTTCCAGATGGCTCTCTACCTGCACTCACAAAGTTTAGTTAACTATAGAATTTCCCTGAGCCACATCAGATTCCATGGCAATAAGAAGGAAGCAGTGCAGTCAGGTGCGGCCTTATGCCTTTAGGCGCCCTGTGCGAAACATCTTCGCAGCGCCCCCCTCTCCCCTGTCATCCATGTCCACAGGCAGACAGTCACACACACAGAGGCAGACAGTCACACACACACACAGTCACACACACAGGCAGACAGTCAAACACACAGCCACACACACAGAGGCAGACAGCCACACACACAGAGGCAGACAGTCACACACACACACACACACACACAGGGGCAGGCAGTCACACACAGGCAGACAGTCACAGACACCCACACACAGACACAGGCAGACAGTCTCAAACACACACAGACAGACACAGGCAGACAGTCACACATAGTTACCTCTGTTCATTATGGAGGTGGAAGTAGTGCAGCTCCTGGAGACTGGTTGTTGGGGAAGCAGGGACTCCTTTCTGCTTCCCATAAAGCAATAACCCGGTGTTCTACTTCTAGCCCCAACCCGGGGCTTGATGTACGGCAGGGGTGGGGCTACATGACGGTGGTCATGTAGCCCCACCCCTGCCGTACATCAAGCCCCGTCCCTGCCGCAATGTTTTTTGTTTTTTTATCCCGGGTGGAGAATAATGAAATCCTCCACTCGGGTAGCCAGCAATATGTGAGCTATGCAGGGCGCCCCTGCTCCATGGCGCCCTGTGCGGCCGCACAGCTCGCACACCCCTAAAGCCGGCCCTGAGTACAGTCATCAGTGCAAACTGAATAAATATTGGCTCTGTTTTGTATTAATGAGAAATGTTGCACATTGTAGAGGTACATTCTGTATATTTTATTTACCTATTATTTTGTTTCTTGGGCTGGTATTATTGAGGTACCCATATCTCGAGGGTTTAAGAATGTCGCCTCCATCCTGCTTATGCATTCTCTTGAACAGTCACTAAATTAAACTTTTCACACCTTACCCCTCAAGTTCCCCATTTAAAAAAAAGTTAACTGCTTTTCCTTCCAGTTCCAACACAACCTCATCCCCCACCTGTATATGTGCCACATTTACAGGGTGATGCACACCTCTTGGTTCCTTACTATGCAATATCTGTACTCTAATATCCCTTACTAGCACACATATTATACTTCACCTACATTCCTTGCCAAATAGTATTTTTTCATTAAATTTTCCTTTACTGATTAGCAAAAATAACATTAAATCATCACTGCTCTATATCCAGTAAATAACAGAAATACGCTTGTACATTTTTTACATAGTAGTACAGAAATCCAGCCTTGCTATCTGCTAGTTGTTTCCATGCAAATGGAGCCTTTTAAAGGTGTATATGTCTCTGGTGAGGGCTCCAAATGCGTTCCAAAGATGCATAAAGAAACCACGGATTGTATAAGGCCTTTTGTGGAACTCTTGATGCAATCCAAATTAAGATGCCCAATGCAGAGGAAGTGACGCAACCAAGCTCATGACGACGGAAGAGCTAACAAGTGGAACGCATGATGCATTCCAATAGGGATATTTAGTGACAGTGGCCTTTTTATACAACAATCTGAAACAAGGGGTCGTCAAGAAAACAATACATTGTGCAACATATTTTACAATCCTGGCGCCTTGGTGTCTGGAACATAACATGATGAACTGAGATAACTTTATTAATAGCTAGACACCAGAGCACCTAACAACAGTGTCCCCTAAAACTATACTTTCCCCATCAAGCATCCCCAAACCATTGCCATCCCCGCAGGGACCACAAGAGGCTATTTAGTCCAAAAAACACTTGAATTGTAGAGTTCTAGCCCAAGTAACCGAAGGTAAAGTTTTACTGGGCAGTGAGTAGTTTCAGATCAGGCGCAGAGTTCCAGGCCTCTGGTTGGAAGGTCCCAGTCTCACACAATGAATGCTGGCGGGTCTGGTACATGGAGCTCTCTCAAGTCCTTGGTGTTGCCAGATAGCTAGCCACCTCCCCTTTCACCCTTCCAAAAAACGCCCTGTTAGATGGTACTTGAGCCGAGAGCTACGTTGCTGAAGTTTGACTGGACAGCGGCAACCCTGCTATCCAATCTTCAGTTACCGGTCAGGCGCATTGTACCTGTAAGGGCCTTATGTTAGTTCCTGAGGCTCTTTGGATGAATAGCTTTTGTGATGTATGGGCGGTTGGGCTGTGTATGAGTGTGTGAGTGTATGAGTGTATGTATTGTGATGTATGGGCAGTTGGGCTGTTGTTGGCTGTGAATGATGCACTTCCTTTCTTTTGGTTCTTTACTTCCTGTTCCTGTTGGCAGTTGGTGGAATGTTCCAGGGATTTGAAATGGCGGCTGCAGAAACCCTGTGTAACAAGGCTGCAATATGAAGATCCTGCTATGTATGTATTAATAAAGTGAGTAAAGTAAGAACCATAACTGACATGGCAGCCATTGGCACTATAAAGGACTTTGATCCTGACTCGGATTTATGGACCTCTTGGGTTGAAAGGCTTGAACAATATTTTACAGCTAATGATATTCCTGACAATAAACAGGTCGCTGTTTTCCTAACAGTTATAGGAGCCAGAACGTATGATACACCAAGGAGCCTCTTACACCCAGAGAAACCTGCCAGCAAGCCATTGGCAAGCCTGATTACTCTGTTAACTAGCCATTTCCAACCAAAACCACTAGAGATAGCAGAGAGATTTAAATTCTGTAAAAGAAGACAAGAGCCTGGTGAATCAGTTTCAGCATATGCCATTTCGTTACGGAAACTCGCCAGCATCTGCTGTTTTGGGGACTACCTGCCCACTGGTCTGCAAGACCAGTTTGTTATGGGCATTGCAAGTGATGAAGTGCTAAGGAGACTGCTTACAGAAGAAGATTTAACATTTAAAAAGGCAATGAACATGGCAGGCATTATAGAACAAGCCTCTAAGGATGCTTATCTATTACACAGCAGACAGGACAACACACAGGAGGCAGAGGTAGATGTTTTAAAAT